TTTTGGTATATTTCAAGGACATTTAAAAAGACCTATATACATTTATATATTTAGAAGCAGTAAACATTATTTAGTTAATATAGCTGCTTTTCGCAATCATCTATATCTTTTTTTCTCAAAAACTATAAATGATTTAATATGTACGGTCTATTTTAAGGACATAAAAATATTAACAGACAATGGATTAATATGAGGACATATATATGTTTATATATGGACTATTATGGGAACATGGATGTATAAAATTGAAATTGTTATATGTTTTAATACGATTTGAACTCAGCAATATCACCTTATAGCTATAATTGCGAACTATACTGTATTTTGCATAATATTAACTGTTTTATATGGATGGGTATTTTCGAGGACTTTTTTATAGTAGTATGTACGTACTATAAAAGTCCTCAAAAATATCCATGTTCCCATAATAGTCCATATGTAAACATATATATGTTTTTATATCAATCTAATTGCCTGTTAACATTGCCTTTAACATTTATATGTTAAATCATTTATTATTTTGAAAAGAAAGATATCAATTGCTGAAAAATAGAAAGTGCAAATATGTACCATATGATCTATAAAACACTTGAATGATGTGTCGTGTGATTTATATATATCTATTAGTATCTGAGAAATTAATAATGGCATTCACATTTTTTACACAAAAGTAGCTATAGACATAATAACATAGATAGATTGAGCATGACGTGCGAGACCTAGTCGGCACGCGTAGGAAAGAGGGAACACAATAACTCATTCTTATTCTCTTTTCTCTCTCTAACAAAAAGTTGTTCTCTGTCTATTAGAAAGAGATGAGAAATTGAGATGTTTCATCTCTTTCGCACGCCAACTATGAACAAATATATATAGTGTATATTATTGGCAAACGTAGTAAGTATAGACTACTCATTCCCTATCTCTATGCCTGAACGGCGAGCGTAGCAGTTTAGAAAGAGAGCACGAAAAATCGGCAGAGTTGCTATCTCTGTTCAATTTGATTAGAAGAAGTATATTATGTAGTGGAAAGAATAGAGCTGAGTGGGGAATAGTAAAGCCGCAATAAATGCTCTTCTTATGTATGATAGAGAAAAAAACTGCTTATTTTCTCTCTTTTTCTAAATCTCGACACTCTGCGAACGTCGATGAACAATCTATGCTTACTACATCTATGGCAGGCACATGGTACGCTCTATATACTACTATGTCTATGATAGTAGCTAACATAAGTAAAACTTGGCGCGTTATTCGTCATTCTGCTATAAAGTAAGTTTTTTTGGTAGCTGTATAAAATGTATTCATTAAGGAAACGTAATGTGTTAAAAGCAAAAGAAGAACAAAACACATTGGGAAGTAAGTATATTCCGGACATTACATTGTGTTTTATATAATACGTAAAAACATTGAATTATTTTTGCATTTTCATCATTTCAAGATATCCCAAGGAACACAACATAGTCAAAATGACGTCATTTTGACATCAGAATTACGTCACAGCAGAAAAAGTCAATATGATGATTTTTGGTTACAAAATTTGACTATTTATTGACGTCAAAAAAACGTCTTTGCAGTATGGGGATCCAATGGTAAATTTTTTTTAATTATAAGAATGAGATTAAAAACATGTTCTTCAATAAAATATGTGAAATTTATTGGAATATCTGATATTATTTTATATATGTATATAAGTACAATAAGTATATATATATATACTAGCTCTAAATATTAATAGCTCTACGACAGTGTTAAAAAAATAATATACTCGCAATTTTTTAAAAATTAAAGAAACTAAAACTATAATATTATTTATCCATACAGCATACATATTCAAAAGACGTTCAAAAGACATTTCGAAGATCTCTAAAAGATATCTTCGGAATGTCCTCTAAGCATCTTTTGGATATACATGTATACACTGTGGGTAAATATTAAATAACCAATCAAAATATATCGTAGATTATGCCTGCTTATATACCTATCTTATATATAGTTAAATTGCACATTATATAAATTGCTGCATAAAACAAGTACTAATAATATATATCACATTTTAGTAATATCTATTTTTATGAAACGCATTTACACCACTCGCTGAGCACTTGTACTAAACCAGCACTTCACGTAATTTTCGGGTTTATCTAGGTCAGCTTTATTACCAAACTTCTGCAAAATAGTGGCTGCAAAAAGAAACATTATTCGATCAACTATTTTGAAATGAAAGTGTCATTTATGATTGAAATACATCACACAGTTGAAGATTTAAAAATATCAATCAGTTTAAAAACATAATTAGTTGCAAAAATCACTTTAAAAGACCAATTCAAATAATTTAAAGGAAATAAAGAATAATTAGTGTTAATACAGAATGAACAATTTCAAATAAACTAATGTAATTTTATTCAAATTTTGGAGATATTAAAATTTCTGTTAAAGTTAAAAGATATATAAAATAAATTATAAATTTAAGATCAAATATAATCTAAAATAATTCTAAAAGTTAATAATTTAAAATAAAATAATTCTAAAAGTTAATAATTTAAGTTAATAATTTAATCGGATTATAAAAATTACCCTAAAAGTTAATTTATGTCAATTGTATGATTCTTTGGATTCTTTCAAAATGTGAAGTATCATTTTAGATTTCATTTATCAGTTGTAATAAAATAATGACGCAAAACTAAATTACCTTGAATAGCCTCATATGTTTTGCTGCTATTAAAAGCAATTTTAGTCTTCTGAGTGCCTCCCCAGCTAATACATCTGGCAAGGGAATTTGTAATTATTTTAGGGAGTACAGACTGTACAGCAGCAACTTCTGATTCTTGGTTTTTAATTTTTGCCGCGAAGACATCTACCTGTACAATATTTCACAGATTTAATTTATACATATAAATTAATTAAGCCAAAATACATAGTAAGATGCAAATGGAAAAATGTGTAATTTTAGGCAATTAAAAATGGAACAAACTGCTGAGATATTTACTACATATGTAAATATATTGTCATCTGCAAGAATATCTTCCAGAGTATTCCATTCTTTTTCAGTACGTAAAGGAAATGCAGGAATTCCGTGTGGTCGCTTCAATTTTACTTCTTCTGGAAAGAGCTTCCTTAAGATACGATCTAATTTAACTTCCATATGGTCGAGCTTGACGCGTATTTCTTCTTGAACTTGAACATTGTCGATAAAATGGTCAATAATATCCGATGTGATATTATGATTGACAATGTTATCATTTCTTTTTCCCTTCTTGCGGAAAAAGACGCCAGAACCTGAAAAAAATACATTGTATGTATAATTAAATTATAGTTGAAAACAAATTAAATAGTTAGTTAACAAATTAAATAACACGTTCTCACTTTCCAAAGATGACTTTGCAGCATCTTTTTGTTGACTGTGTTCTTCAAATTTCTCTATATTATCACTACATTCGTCACTTTGGAAAATTTCATCCTGCTTTTTTTGATCTTTTACTTGGTGCAGTGTAGATGTTGAGAGAAGTGAATCAGAAGTGATACCTGAAACAATTTTTTTTAAATAATTAAAGCTTACAATCTATTCTATCTAATCTATGTAATGCGGAGGAATTTCAAAGTCCCGTTGTATTACTGTCATTTTTTTTGCACTCATAACATATTATAGATAAAAAGAAAAACAAAAAAATAAACAAAATTTCGTTTTAAATTGTATGAATGAAACAGCGTATGTTTTTTTCCATATTAAGTAAACATTTTCTTTTATCCACCACTTACATTGTGAGTATAGGTGGATAAAAAAAGTAATGCTCGCTCAACATAGAATAAAATAATTTAAGAAATATGAAAAAATATTTTGCAAATAAAATAAAGAAAAAAAGCTTACTGTCACTATCCAACGGAACTGTAAACGTGCTGCAAGAAGGTTGATCTGCAAATTCAAATGTACACGGAAGATCAGCAATATTTATGTTTTCTATATCTCGAGGACTCTCCTTATAGTTGACAATTTCTGTAACAACATAATTGTGAAGCGTACACAAAAATACAAATATGACACAAATAAGTACAATTACGAGTCTTGATACTGAAAGATTTATTACTTTTTGGTGTTGATTTTTTGGGAGACATTTTATCATTTTTATTTGTTTTTATGAGTTTTTTCACGATTTTTTTTTCAAATAAGATTCGTTGAACTCCAAACTTTTGGAATGCGAAATCTGAGCTTTCAATGCAGCAAGTTGGTCCCTGATATTTGTTGCAGGGGCTGGTACATTATTTACTTGAGAAACATCTTCACTCTCCTCATTATCTGTATATTGCATCTCTCGACGGAATTTTGCTGCAATAGTCCGCTTACGTTTCATACACTTATTTTCTTTTTCTGAGTTTTCATCATCAGAACTCTGAATAAATCTGGCTGGAAGTTGACGCTTTCGCGGTTTTTCATAATCAGTTTCTATATTGGAGTCTATAGGTTGATCTTCGGCAGCTATTATAGCGGCTTTACGAGCCAGGTTAAAAGTTTCTGGAAAAAACACGAAAAGAAACAATACTTCAGTATCCGTAACTGAACCAAGTGCGTACAACTTATAACTACTTACTGTAACTGTGCAAGAACTCAACATTAACTTCTTCCCAATCTTCTTGCGCTTCTACTAGAGACTTAACCAGTTTCGTAGAGCATTTGATTTTAGTGGGATACATAACTTTTTCTTTAGATTTATTCATCCATTTAGTTGGCACCACGCATATACCATCATCCGGCCAAACAACAACTGAAAACTGTCATGAAACAGAAAAAATAAATAAAATAAAGAAGAAAACACTTTGAAATACATAAAAACTCATAAAGCGATATACATAATCCATTTTTATATTTAACGTTCTTATTATATATATTATTCATATCTAACAAATAAAAAAAAAATTAATGTAGTTTATATAGAATAACTAATAGAATAATCAATAAAATAAACATTTTTATTTGATTTAAGTAAAAAAAGGGGTAAAAGGTTTTTAAAATTGAAATTTTATAACAGTTTAATATCTCACCATTATTTTATTCTTGTCCAGCATGAACGAGCGGAATACATAAATAATTATTATTGGCAGGAATCAGAATGCATTTCTGAAGAACCTGAGTAAAAGGCCACACTTTTTCAGCTTCCTCAAGTTGTGATACCTTACAAATACCTATGTCCGTAGATTGAATAGGAAATGTAAAGAAATCACAAATGTTTTTAAATTTATGTCCATGTAAAGAAATTCGTGTGCCACGATAGGAACAAGTAATTTTTGTAAGAACGACTATTTCGCCACTTTTTTATTTAAAGCAACAATCAGCTTCTGACGTAGAAAGTGTCATTCCGTGCGCAGTTAACTTGGAATAAGTCTCTACTTCATCGTCTTCTCCGTTATGTTTTTTACTTAGTTCAATACGCTCTTCATCAATTATATCTTTTTGCATAAGTCGGCCTTCTCTTTCAAAATCTCTATTATAAAGTTGCTGAAGAGGCATGTGTGTTGCTCTTAGGCAACGCTTAATGATACCCAAATAATTTTCGTACTTAAAAGCACTGAAATTACTAAGCGCAAGATGCTGTGTGCGGCATTCCATAGCTAAGTGACAAAGTGCATGAATGTAATAAGTAACAAATTCATTTCCAGATTTCCAGAAGATTCCATTTCCAGAAGATATCCACAGCATGACGAACAAATGAACGGAGAAGCAAGTCTGCTATTTGAATCATACCATCCTTTTCAACTAAAAGTGGGCTTGAAAGAATGTACACTCCGCATTGCAGAAATAAATAGTTTATGTATAGATTTTGATCAAGCAAACTGAACACCTTTAATCCGTCGTAAAGAAGAATTCTTCTAAATTCCGATGCCTTGTATCTTCCGAAATACGATAAGTTACGAGGTCTTCTGCAAAATTCTACCGGAATATAAGGTTTAATTTCGTCAATTGCTGCGGAAATAGCAGCCCTGTCGTGCACTGAAATTTGTCCTCGATTTAGTCCTTGTTTTCCCAAAACAAATTCCAACCACCGCTGGAAAACTCCGCTATACAGAAGGTGCATTTCATCCAATCTAAACTGAGACACCATACCGATTCCAATTTCTTCTAATGGAGATGTGATCCCGGGAATATGATGGGCAGCATCTGTCTTTAATCTGAACTCTTCATCATTGCGAAGAAATGCATCACAATCTAGAAAAATTTCTCTATTTTTATAACGTACACCAGTAACGTGGCATTTTTCACAAGCTTTTCTTGATGTATGTCCTCTAATACATTTTATAAACGCCCTTGCGGGAGCATCTAGAATAAAATTCCGTATTTCAACACGATACGTAGTGTCATTAAATATAATTCCATTTATCATTAAAGTGGAAAGTTCGTCCACAAATTGTCGCAAGAAGGGTTCTAGTGGAGGTTTACCCTCTCCATAATAAACTGCTATTATGAACGGTTCCTTCTCATCTACAAGGCATCCCAATATTGGCCAGAATGTCTTACGTGAACTAAAATATAATTCTAGACCGTCAATGTTAACGTCAAATCGTATACATTCTCTTGTAGATAGATACTTTTCTGACAGCCGCGATAAAACACTGTGGTAAATTCCTTTATACCAGAATTTGTCGTTTCCCATATTCACAAGATTTGTAATTCTAGGAGTTTTTAATAAAGTTCAAGAGGTTTTTGGTAGAATAGGAAACATTATCTGCAGTATTTTGAGAAGTGTATCAATTTTTTTGCAGGAAACCTCTTTCATGGCCCATTTCTTCAATTCGCGTAGAATATACGCATTTCTATTTTCATTATCATCGCGTAAAGCTCTTAGATTTTCGACTTCAACTATTTCGCAGGCATCACTGGATTCTGAAGAATCTGATTCATACTCTGGATTATTGCTATCACGACTACCATCGTCTGAATCTTCATTAGATCTTATATCACTGTCACTGCTCTTTTGCATTTTAGCAATGCTGGACTTCTCGATATTATTCCTATCACAATCGGATTCTTCATTATGTTCGCCTTCGATGCTATCAGTGCTACTTGAAAGAGGTGAGAGATTTAAGATGTTTCCAATACGCTTCTGCAAGTTTATAACACGCAAACGCGTCGCTGCTTTTGTCACCGCCTTCCGACTAATTTTTCTTTTACGACTCTACATTTAATAGAGAAAACAAAGTATGTAGTTGCTTTAACTTAAATAAATATAAGCTTTTTATATAAAAGCTTCTTATTTTATCTGTGACACATTTCATGCATAATTGCCAAAGAGCAAGCTAAGTTTTAAACTCTATTGAGGTTGAATATTATGTATTGACACATGCATTAATGCAAATTATGTATCATTTTTATGTATCATTGGCAAATAAAGATTTTATACTGCAAAGTATTGTCTTTAGATATTGTATAACTCAGAATTTTGTTTGACAATATAACTCTTTTTTTATTTATTTAAATTGTATATTTTTTATATTAAATTACATCTCTTATATGTCATATTATGTAACATAATTTAAATAATTTCATTATATTTATTATATTTTATATTTTATTATATTTTAAGTCAATATACACATATATTTATATACATAAAGATTATATGAATCAACTTACTGTTGCTCACATACACACAATAAATAAATGAATAATTAAAAATGTAGTTAAAAATTTTTTACTAATAGTTAAAAAATTATACATAAATATTTACATATGTGTTTGCTCTAAATATAAAAGTTGTTTTAATACCTATAATTTTGTGTATTTATTAATGCAATTGACTAAATAGTAAAATTGCTACAAAAATTCACACTTGCAAAAATATTAGTTAAGTAAACTCTTTAAAAATTGTTTAAAGAAAATGTATAATTTTCTATAATTAATTATATATTATATATTATAAGTAATTATATATTATGTGTATATTCTATAATTAATTAAAATTATATCTCGATATGTTGTAATAATTTAATGAATTAAAATAGTAAGAGTGTCTATGTTTAAATCTTGTAAAAAAATTCCTTAATTTTTCAAATAATTTTTATATTGCAATGTAATAATAATTCTATCAATTAATTTGTATTCAATTTTTGAAATATACTCAAATTTATCATTAAGCTTCTTTTAAACAAAAAATGATTCATGATCTAGACAATTAACAAACAAGTTACATTAAATTAAATATTAACTTTGTCAATTATTTTCTGTTGCGTAGTATCATAGATGTATAATAAATAGACTGCGTGTTCCCTACTTCAACCCTATTAAAAAGTATTCTCACTTTAAAAAGAGTTTTCTGAAACCGTAGCCTCCTTCTTGGCTAATAAATGTAATAAATGTACTGAATAATGAAGTTAGGCATTATGAGCTATGAAAGACATTAGATAGACTGAAAGAGAGCTAGGGTTCAAAACATGTTGTCTCGTTTCAAAGTGAAGACAACTTTTCAGCGCAGTCTATTTATAATACATGAATGCGTAGTATATGAATTATTATATTATATCGCAGAAAAATTGAATTATAAACACAATAGTTTGTCATTACTAGCAAAAGAAACATGAATCTAATTTGTTTCATGATTGTCTAGGTCATGAAATGCATGAATACATGCTTAAGCAAGCAAAATTCGTATTTGTGCATGGTTATACTTACTGGTTTTGCAGCATCCTCCATTTTGAATTATAATATAATAATGCTCTTTTTCTTATACTGGCTATTAGATTATCTCCACGGATCTTGCTAGAAATTTGCTCTCACAAGACTCCAAAGATTACAATTTCGCTGCAATAACAATAATAATTATTAATTATTATTAATTAAAATTATCTCATTGTCAGACACATATAATATATCTTTAAAATATATATAATGTATAATAATATCTCTAATATTTAATATATAATATCCTCTCTCTTTAAGTCTTCTTTAACGTAATTAATATATGCACATTTTTTACACATAACTGATATACATATCCCATAAAACATTAAGATATACTTAGTACATACAATGTATATACATTTATGTATATTGTATATTCTATGTATATACTTCCTTATGTAATTTATATATAAAGAATATGAAATGTATGTGCAAATGAAACCGGATTAATGTACATAGGAGATCCATGATACATACATATGTATATGATAAGTACAATCTATGTACATGTATTATGTATATACATTTCCTGTATATACCATGTGTATACAAAGTGTACATACATTAGATATAAATCATAAAACATTATAATATACCTAGTATATACATTTATGTATATTCTACGTATATACTTTTTTATACGTGTTGATACATAGAATATGAAATGTATGTGCAAATGTAACCGGAACAACATACATAGAATATCCAGTACATACATATGTATGTACGTGTTATTAGTACAGTTTATCGTATATACTTTATATACATTATTTTATATATAGCATGTATACATATACTAATTATAAGGACACGCATTATTCCTTCAGTTAATAAATACTATATATTTATATTTACAAATATAAAATTATTATAAAATAAGATATTCTGTATGTTCATATGCACATTCAACATATAATATATATATCATACAAGCTCACATGTATATGTATTACAGATATATACCCTGATATGCGTTTAAATTCATTTATTAAGATATTTCTGTATGCATACATCTGTACATACATATATGTGAGCTTGTATAATATGTATTATTGTATGTTGAATGTGCATATGAACATATGGAATATCTTATTTTATAATGATTTTATATTTGTAAATATAAATATATAGTATTTATTAGCTGAAGGAATCATGCGTGTCATATACATACATGCATTATTATATGCGTTATGTGTGTGTGTGCGTGCCTGCGTGCGTGCGTGCGTGCGTGCGTGCGTGCGCGCGTGTGTGTGTGTGTGTGTGCAATAGTCATATAGAATGACAAAGGAAAGAATTAATATAACAAACTAGAAAAAAAGACAAGTTTTGGAATTGAAAAGAATACTATAATTAATAATAAATCATACATATTATTACACTTTTTTTTTCTTTCTATCTGTCTCATAAAATAAAAAAAAGGCTTACAGTATTAATTGCTTAAAGCATTCTTTTTCTTCTTTTTGTTTCATAAAATAAAAAAAAATTGCACATTTCTTCTTTGTTTTTTATCATAATACAATTAGATATAAGAATCTATCTATATAGTATTGTAACTTAACACAAAAATAAATAGAAGAACTAATGTTTCTCTATTATAATATAAAAACATAAATTTTCATTATATTAAATATATTATACACACATGTATAATCTCGAACATAGATTAAAGCTAAAGCTTAACATATTTTGAACCTTGAACATTATGCATCTGGATTTTTTATATTGTTAATGAGTTGATTCTTCAATTTCAACTCTTTGAGGAGCTATATTTTTGCCTTTGTTATTATTGTTAAAGCGATCTTTACTCCTTACAAGCCACGCTTTTATAAAACATATTATTTCTGAATCTGTACATTCTTGAGCGTTTTTATTAAGGCGTACAGCAGCTGTAAATATTTTCACAAAATATTATAAAAAATATATTTGTATATATATATATTTCAAAAATATTATAAATTTATTAATAGTGTCGATGTATATATGTGTATATATCAATAAATAAATAGTAAAATATACTATAAATATAATATATATATAATATAAATAAAAAATAAAGATAATTATTTACAATTTTTATAAATATAAATGATATTTCTTTAAACAATTCTTTAAACATTCTTTTTGTTTCCTTTGTTTTTTAATTATACATACATTAAGCAATATTATTTTACATAGTTCCATTCAAAAAATATACTTTATTATATTTATTTATGTTAAAATTGAAAAAGACAAAAATAAAAATAATTATAAAAGAATTATAAAACTTATAAAAATAATTTAATAACTTACAGAGAATAACAGATGCAACAGCTAAATTTTTGAAAACTTTCTTTTTCTTAGCTCCTTCCCAAGAATAAGACATACCAACTTCATTGGTAAACACACGATACATTATTCTCCGTACGATTTCTTTAATACAAGACCCTCCAATACGGCTTAAATTTTGAGACTAAAATAATAAGATCATTATTTATTTATATTTTAAATATAATAGTATATAATATAATAGTATAATATAATTAAATAATATTATCAAATAAAATAGTATAATTTTTACTAATCTTTTTAAATGTAAAAAAAGGTTAGACATATAGAAAATATAAAATAATACAAATAAAATA